TCCAGACGGTCGACATATTTGGCAGCGGAGTCCGTGGTAGCGGAATCTGTGGTCCCTTGAACGGGTTTGCACACATCCCCAGTGATGATGCGCCAAAGTTTCTTTCCTTTGAGGAAGCCAGACATAGTTTGTGCCCATAAGACATAATTAGTCCCGTCAAGAATAACAGAAATAGGTTGGGTAGAGGAGTCCAGGCGATCCATGAGCGAAAAATAGCACAAATGAGGGAGAATCGAAAAAAACCGAGAGTACCAGTGAATTCAGAAGGTCAAAATTAGTCAGAAAAGGAGTGAACGGACCAAAAATATGACCAGAAAGGCTGAAAATGGAGTAGTCAACGATGCTGGTCAAACAAGGATGATGCAGTGCTGATGTCACAGGCGCAGCGCACGTTAGCAGAGAGTGGTGCGGCGCACGTTAGCAGGCGAAGACACACGGCGCACGGAAGCAGTCAGGGCTGATGTCAGCTGACGTCAGAAACACGCGGCTCACGTTAGCAGATGAGGCCGTAGCGCACAATAGCACAGGACAGTGTAGGAAGCGCGTAGAGCGCGTCTGGAACGATCAAGCGAGTGGCCGAATGTTCTAGCGGCGCGTGGAGGCACGTGAGACGTCAGATGAGGATGAATCTGGTGGTGTTGGCTTCGTCGTGGAGAGACGAAGGTGATGGTATTGTCCAATCTGTGTATTAGGTAAGGACGAGGTACACAGCAATCTGCCAAGAAAAATGTGATGCAGAGACTTAGGAAAAATACCTGCGCTCTGATACCATGAAAGACAAATTGAGAGAGTAATATAAAGACAAATTGAGAGAGTAATATTGAAAGAGAATTCTGTAATGTAAACTCTATATTCAGAACCAAGACAGAGGCTCCATAATCTCACATAATTGACTAATGGAGATAAGATTTAAAGTGAGAGCAGGCATAAGATATACATGGGATAAAGATAAGTGAGAGGTGGAAACAGACCCAACATTATATCTTTATATCTTTACTGTGTTTTCTTTTTTCTGTGTTTTTTTACTGGCGAAAGTTAGCACAGCAGTTAGTTGTTGGATTAGTACAATTGAACTCTCACCCCAAGCATTATGAATGGAACCCAAGATCTCCCTTTAGGAGAGACTTGGTGGCCAAAGGAATGGCCACACAGTCTACAAACCTTTGCTTCATATCTTTATTGTGTTTATGTTTATATATATGCATTTGTATAAGTTTGGTTTATTAGTTGACGAATGTGTAATTTGGTGGAGGCTGGCTGCAATCGTGGGTCATGTAGTGCATTGTTGTTGTTTGATTGAATTTCCCTGTTTGCATTGCATGTTGGCTCACCATTACATCTCTAATTATTGTATTGATATTTAATTGGTTGTTTAAAATATTCATGCACCCATAAATCGATGTGTATATGTCGGATGTTTCACAAATTTGGGACTTCTACAACATCTAAATTTTGTTACTGTTTCTTGAATTTTCTTGATTTAGTTTATGTGTTGATGGATTTTTTTTTTAATTTTAATTTTATAAAGTTATTGTGAATCTCCCGCACTACAATATCTAAATTTGTTACTGATGCAATTCTTTTAACTTTTTTCTCTGAAACTTGTATTTGTGATTGATAAGTTCTTATTTTAGTCACGATTAATTTGAATAATCTGATTTTAACTGGAATCTGATAGTTGCTTCTTAAAAAGTCTAATTGCTAATCATATTGTACCGGTTTGGTATCAATTAGTCAGGGTGTGTAGCGATTTATTTAGTTTGATTTGAGCCCTATAGCTTGGTAACAAACTGTTTAATACTGTCTTTCATTCTATGGTTCGAAAGGAAAATTAGGGGAAGGGCTGAGGTTTAGGAAGTCGTACATATGCTTCACAATTTCTGGCTTGTTATTCAATTAAAATTGCTGAAAGTGTTTTGGGAAATGGGATATAATAAGTGGAAGATGTAGTTGGTTTCACTGCTGTTTTTTTGGTGATTTGTGGAATGGCTTATAGATGTGATTAGTTATAATTCACTTATTTTGTTGGTCTTCAAAGCTTGAGTCTGTGCAGTCAGCGTACCTAGTGTGTGTAGAGAAATTTATTGTTGAAAAATTAGTTTTGATTCACATTTGATCATTTAGTTTACAATATTCAGCCTCAACAAGTTGGAAACTTGTCCTTTTAATTCTATTCCAGATTTCCAGATTTTGGAACAGCCGCCTGCATCATCCCTTCCGAGAACTAAGGAGAACAATCTGGTTCCTGTAAGACGACCTGACAAAGGTGGCACACATTCCATTCAATCTCCCAAACTTCTTGTTAATCATTTCCCAGTAATGTTCAATGCAAAGACTACAATTATACATTACTATATAGATATTAAAGAGGAGGTTCCTTCCAAGAATCGTTCTGCAAAAATACAGAAATCCCATCTCCGTATGATCAAGGACAAGCTATTCTCTGATGATCCTTCTCAATTTCCTCTGTCAAGCACTGCTTATGATGGTGATAAAAACATATTCAGTGCAGTTGAATTACCCACTGAGAAATTCAAGGTGAAATTTTCTGATGGGGAAGGTATGAAGTGTGTTTCTTACATAGTTACTATAAAGGAAGTAAAAAAGCTGCGATTTGGCAAGCTGAAGGATTACTTAAGTGGGGAAATCATGTCCATCCCTCGTGATATTCTGCAAGGGATGGATTTGGTAACGAAGGAGAATCCCTCTCGGGAAAGAATCCCTGTCGGTCGAAGCTTTTATCCTACAACATCCAATAAAGATGATGATCTCGATGGTGGAGTTACAGCATCTAAAGGTTTCCAACACAGTTTAAAACCCACTTCCCAGGGTCTTGCACTGTGTTTGGACTACTCAGTTTTGGCATTTCACAAGCGATTGCCTGTTATAGATTTTCTTAAAGAACATGTTTGGGGATTTAAACAAGTTAATGATATGAGAAGGTTGAGAAGAGATGTGATAAATGCATTAACCGGATTGAAAGTTAGGGTGACTCATCGTGTGACCAACCAAAAGTACATTATTGTGGGGTTAACTGATCAAAACACACGAAATATTTCATTTGATGTTGAGGATCGAGAGGAAAAGGCTCCCCCAAAGCGAGTTAGCCTTGTTGAGTATTTCAGGGAAAAGTATAATAAAGAAATCAAGCACAAGGATATCCCATGCTTAGATTTGGGGAAAAATAATAGAATAAACTATGTGCCAATGGAATTCTGCATCTTGGTTGAGGGTCAGAGGTTCCCGAGGGAGCACTTGAGTAGAGATGGAACCATTTTGTTAAAGAACATGTCACTGGTTCCACCAAAGGATAGAATGAATACAATCTGTGAAATGGTGCAAGCTGATGATGGACCTTGCGGGTATGTAACATTTCTTAAGATCTGCAATTTTTTTCATCTTATATATGTTTAGTAGTATTGCTTCTTAAAAGATATTTGCTTCCTCTACATGCTGTGTACTGTCAGATGGGTGCATGTCATTATCATTTTCTCTGATGCAAACCACTTGATCTGCAAGCAACGAACTCGGAATTAAAAAAATCTTAGTATTTGTTTGTGAGGGGTCTTGTGTTTCAAGCTATTTTGTTGAGGTTGGTTTAAATTGGTTTTTATCCTTTTTTTTTTTTTATTCCTTCGTGCTTTGAAGATTTCTTTTCATTGAGAATTTTGTGTTTGTTTTCTTTTTCCAAAAAATATGATTACTAATTTTAGCATTTGTTTGTGAAGTAGTGTGCCAGAATCTAGTTGTTGAGAGTGGTTTAAATTGGTTTATCTTATGCTGCCTTTATCCTTATTTTTCTCCTTCATGCTTTGCAGCTTTGTTTGACTTGAGAATTTATTTTTTCTTTTCTTTTCTTTTCCCGAATCTGATACTAATTTTTGCCATGGAATGTCTAGGTAGTTCTCATTTCTAGTATTCCAGCAACTTTATAAAAGTAGTATAAGAAAATCCTTGATTGGGTAACTTGGCTTATCTTGTTCCAATTTGGAGGCTTCCGAATATTTGTTTTGCTTCATACTTCTTGTTTTTGTTTCTTTCCATATAATGAACTCTTTTTTAAAAAAAATTAACTTACTGGCAGGGGGAATATAGCTCAAAATTTTGGAATTCAAGTGAACAAGAACATGACAAAAGTGGAAGGGCGTGTCATTGGACCACCTCAGTTGAAGTTTGGTGCTTCCAACGGCAAGGTGAACGTAGTAAGAGTTGACAAGGAGAAATGTCAGTGGAACCTTGTTGGGAAGTCAGTTGTGGACGGTAAACCAGTCAAGCGCTGGGCTTTACTAGATTTCAGCTCTTCTGACCGTTTCAAACTAGATCATGGAAAATTTGTTCTGAATCTTACAAATCGTTGCCAAAAGCTAGGGATCCACATTGAGCATCCTCTTGTTTATCGTCCAACTGACATGCGCCAACTCTCTGATATCACTAGGCTTCGTAGTCTCCTTGAAAGTGTTATTTCGGAGGCTAATGGGAGATGCCAAGGTCGATTACAAATCATTGTCTGTGTGATGACTAGGATTGATCCTGGCTACAAGTATCTCAAATGGCTCTCCGAGACCCAGATTGGGATAATAACCCAATGTTGCTTATTCAATCATGCTAACAACGCGAATGATCGATACTTCGCGAACCTTGCCCTCAAGATCAATGCCAAGCTCGGAGGCAGCAATGTAGAGCTCATTGAACCTCTCCCCCGTTTTGAGGGCGAAGGCCATGTTATGTTTGTGGGGGCCGATGTCAATCACCCGGGTGCACGGAACTCCACATGCCCGTCAATAGCAGCAGTTGTTGCTACTGTCAATTGGCCTGCTGCAAATCGCTATGCTGCCCGTGTTTGCCCCCAGTACCATCGGTCGGAGAAAATTTTGAACTTTGGGACAATGTGTCTAGAACTTATTCAAGCTTATGCTCGGATCAACAAAGTAAAACCACAGAGAATTGTGGTGTTCCGTGATGGGGTAAGTGAGGGCCAATTCGATATGGTTCTCAATGAGGAGTTGTTTGATCTAAAGAAGGCCATTTATGAAGAACATTACCGCCCAACAATAACTCTAGTTGTGGCCCAGAAGCGACACCAAACACGCTTGTTTCCTGAGAAAATGAAGGATGGGGGTTCCACTGGCAATGTTCCTCCAGGAACAGTTGTGGACAAAAAAATCACTCATCCATTTGAATTCGATTTTTACCTTTGCAGCCATTACGGGAGCTTGGGGACAAGCAAGCCTACGCACTACTACGTCCTTTGGGATGAGCACAACTTCACTTCTGACCAATTGCAGAAGCTCATTTATGACTTGTGCTTCACATTTGCTCGATGCACAAAACCAGTTTCTCTTGTCCCGCCAGTCTACTACGCTGACCTTGTTGCGTATAGGGGACGAATGTTCCAAGAGGTGATGATGGAGGTATCTCCTGTCTCGGTATCGTCTTCATCTTCATCTTCTGCGACATCAACATCATCATTGTCTGTTTCTTCGTTTGATGACAAGTTTTACAAGTTGCATCGTGATCTTGAGAACATCATGTTTTTTGTCTGAAGGCCCAAAAATATTCGGCCAATCTCCTTTTGGGCATAGACAGACAATAGAGAAGGTGATTTTGCTAGTTACTTAGTGTTTGGCCCGCAAAATGCAGATCAATGATCCTTTTCTTCAACTGTAGAAATGAGTTTGTGTGTGAATTTAATGTTTTTGAAGTCAGTATTTCTTTTGATTTTGTTTTTTAATTTTTATGTCTCTGTTTCTATGATATGCTGGTGTGTTTGAGGGTTATGCTGTCATGTTTTTCTTGAATTTACTCTTGAGCATTAATTGAGCTGCAGTTGTTGAATTGTACATGAAATTTGCTGCTGCGAAATAAATAAATAAACATGATAAATTTGAAGAGTAGAATAAGGCTGATATATATTACATTCCTTCGTTCATAGCTACAAATTTCATTTGGAGAATCATTTTTTTGTTTTTCTTTTACTTACAGAACAGTACTCCTGATCACTTTTACAAAAGCAATTATAAAGAAACTATGCTAAGAAAGAGGAAACAAAAACAAAAAATAAATAAACAAATAGAAAACAAAAAGCAAAACAACATAAGTGTTTTGCAACACAGCCTTTAATAGTGAAAAGATATAACACAACACAAGTCTCTTGATAGACGCATGAAGTTTAGAATTTTCTAGTGATCAGTTGTAATTTCTTCAACCAGATGATTGTCTAGCTAGCTAGGACAAGACACCGATGCTTGTGATGATCGAAATAAGCTCTCTAGCTGTCCATGTCACTTGTGATAGATTCCGAAGATGGTCCATCAGACCTTTATCCGTGAGTGAGAATTTAGACAAACATTCATCTGTACAAGTACCCGAAAAACAAAAATAAAAACAAAAACAAAAACAAAAACATTCGTGAGGTACAAGTAACATTCAACAGGGCTACTCCAAAAGAAATTCAAAAAAGTTGTACCTGAAGTCTTTGTGAGAGTTAGTAAGGTGAGTGAAGCAAGCACCCTTTCCTCAAGAGCTTTGTCATAATTCAAGGATTCTATCAGATGTGGAACGAGGATTGAGCACACCTCTGATTGAAGATTTTCATCACAAATCAAATGGAGATAACCACTCATCCATGACACCGTGACAAGGCTCGCACGTGCCAAACACGGGATGCCATTGGCTATTGAGTCAGAAAGTGCAGCCAGCAGTCCCTTGTTGCCGCCGGTAAGCAACGCTATCGCTGCTTTCCTTTGCCAATTTTGCATTGCATCATCCTCTTCATTCTGAAAATCGACATCCCAATCCATTAAACCGGTGGAGGAATCAAACAACACACATGAACACAAGAATTTAATTGTTTCTATTACGCCACAGTAATTTTGACAATGAATAATCAAAAATTCTGGTTTCATATAGAAAGAAACTAAACTTACCGAGTGGATCAACTCTGCAATGACTATATCCTTTCCTTGAAATGAATCACTCGAGCTGTCGTCAAAGCCTGCTTCCTTCAAAAGCCATTTTTCTGTTGTCGCATCTCCCGTGTATGAGAACCGTCCCCCCAATATCAATAGAGCTTTGGCCGACTGCTCTTGGACCCTTTCATTACACATTTCACAATCCAAAGCCGCAATTATCGCCTCTACTACCTCTTGTCTGTATACACTGCACTTCAGAGGATCTCCCTGCAACATAACTGCTACTAGATAAGGATCTCTCTCAAAACAACCCCATATGTTTCGAAAAACAATGAAAACAAAATTACCAGAAGATCAAGAAGTAACAATATGGCTGCAACCATTGGGCGCTCTTCAACTTGAGCCCTCTGGAGATAGACAAATAATATATGCATTGTGTTCAAGCTTCCCCAGCCACTTAGTAATCCTTTTAAAAATCTTGTCGCCTGAGTTCTTCTGCAATAATTCCATGATAATACCCTATCATTACCAATTGAATTTCTAGAACAATACTAGTGGAATTGAAGTGATAAAATTAAATGAATTATATACCTATTAAGGCAAAGTAACTCAGTTAGCAATGCAAAAGCATGGCCTTGAGAATTCCAGTGCTTTCCGAGAACAAGGAGTTCAAGAATACAACTCTTGTTCAAATTGTTAGCTAGGTAGTGCCGGCAACTTCCATCAGCTCGAATACAACAGAAAATAACTGAAGCAGCTCTTGTCTTCTCACAAACATCCCCGGTCTCAATCCTTTTCACCAACAAGCTCAATCCCCCTATAGAAACAACTTGCCTCGCGTTCTCCAAATTCTTGTCTTCGTCAAAACCAGTAAGAAGCTGATCTAGAAAGTAATATGCGGTCACTTGAGGACTACATTGAACGGATAATAAAGTCTGCAACACATCCCCAAACTCTAACACGCGGAGGACTAGTGGAATCCATTCAATTGATATCATTTGCTTTGCCTTTGGCTTCACTAGGTAAAGCAAAACAGAAGCTTTTAGAAATAGACTACTATTCCTCAATAGTCTTATGAATATATCAAGTTGTGGATCTGAGTTTAATATTATATGCCTATTCGCCTCATTCCTCATCACGAATTCTGCTAAAACGGAGACTGTTAATTCTAGAATCTCATCGTCATTGGAAGAGAACAAAACCTCTAGCATTCCCCCGATTACTGGTGGCTTCGACAGTGTTTTCTCAATAGCGGGATCTCCATGAAAATCTAACCAATTTTTGGTAATCACGCGAATTGCTACTTCACAGTCGCTTAGGCTATCTGATGAGCTAATCGTGTTTATTGCCCTCCTAAGATCAGTGGGAGGAAGATGGGTTGTGTTCTTTGTTGTTCTCATTGAATCATTACTAGTACTAATACTTCCCTGTTGATGACTGCCACGTACCATGCATTCTGTTGGCTCGCTCTGACAGGTGAAAAACCGAAAATAGTCTTGTTTTTGTGTCTCAGGCCACACTTCAGCTTTCTGGTTTCTATAAATTTGGCTTGATGATCTTCTATGCCCCATATTTCTTTGCTGTCGAGTTTAGAAAATATATATTTTTTGTTAAATAAAATTTTGGACACATTGCAATTCCGATGTGACTGTCATTCATTTTAAAATTGTAAACAAAACAGAAACTAGACATACATGTTGCTTGACATTATCTTCATGTGTAAAAGCCTTTTCTTCTTCCTCCGAATCCCATTTATTGATCATAAAAGCATGATTTCTATGATCATCAAGGACCATAGACCTCCTCTCAAGCCGCGTGGGGCCAAAAACAGCTCGATATCTTCCAATATTAATGAAAAATAATTAAATAAAACAGAAAAACACAAATACGCATAGCATAAGGCAGGCAGGTAGGTAGGTTACTTTTTGAATTAATTTTGAACTTACAAATTGGATTTATTGATGGAGGATTCACGCGAAGAGAAAGAATCTGATGATCTGCGCCTCATTGAAGTTGAATAAATACTTGAAGGCAGAGGCACTGACGGAACAGGAGGGGGTTGGGAACCAATTTTGAGCCATTCCTTGTAGTAAAGAGCGAATTGAGCAGTTCCCAAGTCCATTTGGTCATTGTAGACCTTTGTCAAAGCTTCCATCTTCTTCTGTTCGTCAAATTCGGAGTTTGGTGTCAGAAATTCTACTTGTTTAGCATACCAAATCTTGAGATGGAGAAGGTGGGGGAGAAAGAAATGTTCCCAAAGCTCGGGAAGCAATTCAGTACGCGCAAGAAATGGGGAATCGCAGAACACTTGCAAGAGATGCCTCGCTGAAATCCTATCGTTCTTCTCCATCTTGTAAACGATTGATAAGTAGAGCTGAGCACAAGCAGAGAGATAAGAATTGGGGGTTCCACAGGTGGAACCATGCATTGAGGTTTTAGAATTGTTGAGGGATGCAACAATGCTCAAAAGCCTAATTGAATTTCGCAAAGATTTCATTCTCAATTCTTGCTTTGCAGGGGCAGGACTGGTAGTACTAGTTTCGACTAATTTCTCAATACTCTCAATTCCCAATTCCATGTTGGCGAAAATCCCATTATCTGAATAATCCTTATCATCATCATCGCTCCTTCTTCTCCTTCTTGTCAAGCAAGAATAGTAGCACTTCTGTCTAATGCTCTGACGAAAACTTTCGTCTTTCAGATATCGGCCTATGTATCCGCTCAAAATTGAAACCACCGCTCTAATGGCAACTTCATCAATTGCGGGTTCTTCTTCTGATCTTTTCACAATTGGAGGAGAGAGAGCACCACCACCACCACTGCCACCACGGTCCTCTCCCTCCTCCTCTCTTATTGACATGGAAATAGAATTGGATAGCCGTGTTGAATCAGCACAAGTACTCGCTCTTTTGGAAGAAAGTACAGAAGAAGTAGAAGACCCTTTTCGCAAAATGCTCTTCTTGGGGGGATCCTTTTGCTTCCAGTACTTATCATAGCTTTTCCGGTCATGGCAGATATATATAGGCAAGGCAATATTGGAAGGCTCATCGGGTGGTAATGCTACGCTTCTATCGCGAAACCTTACCTGTCTTTGAGAAGTATTTTTGGCGCGCTCAAATCCTTCTTTGGCTAGTAATTCCTGCAGAGATGCCATTTTTTCTTGATGATGAATTGAGTTTTTTTCAAGGAAGATGGGAGTGTGAAAAGGTTCACTGACATAATTCTTTGAAAACCAAAAGATAAAACAGCAAAACAAAAAAACACAGCTGTAGAAAGGAAGAAGAACCAAGTGCAATGACAATTAGTAGGAGGGGACAGAACAGAGGAACTAGGACAAAAAATAAAACAAAACAAAAAAATTCAAAAATTAAATAAAAACGTTTGGTGATTTTCCCATGAAACTTTTTTAACCGTTAGTACTTCTGTCAGTTGAATAATTGGAAAGAAGACAGACCGGCCGGTTCACTAATTGATCTTGGGTTGGCATTTGTTCAGAGTGATTCTGATTCTGATTATTATGATTATTTTATTATTATTATTTTTTTTTTTTGAGAAGTAACTCACTCACTTGACAAAATTTTGTTTATTCACACAAAATTGTCATTTAAGGTCACCCCATAAAAGAAGTTAGAGAAAGGAATTTTTCCATATCAACTCAATATTATTTCTCCCATATAGGGAGGTCACTGGTATCACTCTTGAGATATATTCTTAACTCACACAAGTAGCTCAGTTGTTAAGGGTCTTCAGAATGAATCAATTGTAAATTCAAATGTTCAGACAATTATTTCTGATATTTTGTTCGAATTTACCTAATACATGTGATTGGAAGGTGATTATATGTATTCGGAATTTATTTTGTAAGGATGAATTCAAAACCTAATTGTAAAACATAAAGTATTATAATGCAGCGGGAAAAACATTTAGATCATACCTTTAGGTGATAGAACCTCTCGGATAAATCACGTGCTTCCAGAATCTGAACAACGAACCCAGCAGTGGAGTGATACTACAAAATGAGTATCACCCACACAAGTCACAATGCAAAATAGCTTGATCGTTGTTTAATGGGAGTGAGGCAAAGAGAGAGTCTGAGAAAAAAGGTTATGGGTAAAAACCACATAACGTATCTGATATACATATATGATATATCAATATATTATCTAAAATATATAATCAGATATATAACCACCAATATCTATCTATCCATATATCCATATCTATTGATATGATAGATATAGATATCCTGAATGGTTATCCAAATAAGTTTTGAATTCAAATTCAAACATATATGGATAAGGTTCAAAAGGTTCAGGTTCAAAAGGTTCAAAGGGTCATGCCACATAGGCGCCCAATTTCTAATATCTCTCACTCGTACATGAGTTGGCATGACACTGCCACATCTCTATCTCAATCTCCCAAAAAATGAACAATCTCATACTAGCCAATGCACCGTGCGACTGCTGAGAACACCTGCATGTGGGAGTTCTATACTAGAAATTCAAAATGAGCCAGCATAAAGACATCAACTCAAAAAGAACAGAAATAGTGTCTCATATACCCCAGACCTATCTAGTTACACCGGTCCAAAAACATTTCTAATCCCTCAAAAAGAGCATATTTGACCCTCTCAATTCTTGCAATATATTCACTCAATCTGCCTCTCATACAGAGCGATGTGAGTTGCCGGCAGTGAATACACAACAATGGTGTAATACTAGATGATCTTCCCTTTGCCCTCATGCCATTTAGTTTAGGATTGATTACTTTCCCAGTGATGTCCCTTAAGGCCGAATCATACATGACCGTAGGCAACATACCAAAGTAGCAGAACATCAACCCCTTACCTTATGACATAGTCAAAAGTCACAAAAGGGTACATAAATGAAAGTCATATCAATAATGACATATAAGACTCACACGGTGAGGAAACAGGGATCCATTCTCTCACCTCATTACTCGGTCGCCAAGCACATATAGTATGAATACATGCTACGGTGGAGTAACTCTTCCAAAAGAGTGATGTCATACTCGATACACCGTACAGATATTAATCTAGTCGCTTTCTAGCGCCTAACCCGAATTCTTTATTTGCTCGCCTTCTAGACGCCAAATGAGATCTCTCATCTGGGTAATCATAACAGGCATAACATGGAAGTGGGTACTAACATCTATGTTTGGTCCTTAACACAACCTCATCTTGGTTGTAACCAAGGCGACATGCATAGTGGATAATTTAAGCCTTTCTTGGCTCCAAATAAAAAATAAACCACTGGTCTCATCCTTGTTCGCTCCCAAGCGCCAAGGGCGATTGCTCGTGTGAGTGAGCCAATCTTGCTTGCTGACATCATCATCAGCTAATCATTATGACACAAACCATAATAGTGTCAACATCCCATCATCTCAAAATAAGTGATCGATTAAAAAAAAATTTGACCGCAGCTTGCGCAATTATAGATTCCAAACATAAGCCTTATCAGCACCTCTTGCGATAAGTATATACAACGGAATCCACCATGTGCACCTCACATGAAGTGATTCAAGATCACAATTCTAGATTCCAAACATAAGCCTTATCAGTACCTCTTGCAATAAGTATATACAACAGAATCCACCATGTGAGCCTCACATGAAGTGATTTAAGATCACTACCTCTTGCGCAATAACCTCTCTGAAGATATTTAACCAATTTGCGTTTATTCTTAATGCGTCCAACTAGCGCATTAAATTTTACAATGAGCAAATTAATATACTACTAGTAAAGTATTTTATCCACAGTCTAATGAGCAAGGTCAATGTCTAAACAACTCAGTTGACCATTTACCAAAGATAACACTTATCATGCCGAATACGCCCACATAGCATACTTTAGGCTCCCACAACAAAGAAAAGATCAAGGAATATAGGTCATTTGTTTCTCCCAAAGACAATCCGAGGATTCACTCAATAGCTAAGGCTCTGGCTTTTACCGATAGGTAAGTCAATGGGTTTGTAATTTTGCATCTAGAATCGTTCTAGGATATTCCTTATGTAAGTCATCAAAGACAAAACATGAATTCTCCCAAAACAATCCCTAAGGATCGTACATCCGAGCATATAAATTACATCATCCATGTCCATCATATCTAAAACAGAGGACTGCCCACCCTAGGTGGCAACAACCTTATAAATTCTTGGCTCATAATGACTAAGTAAGGAAAATCTTCTTTTTGGACCATTGATCATGCCTTAGTGGTCTTCATCGATCATCGTTGGCCTATCATGGCTTGACGAAATCTAAGAACCACTATTTGGATAACTGTTTTAGGCTGTAAAAGATTTATTGGAACTAGCAACCTTTTTACGCTCCTAATTTTTTACCATAAAAGCAGAAGGTAAATCCCTATGGATCTACTTGTCCAATTCTTTAACGAGAAAGTTGGGTCACAATGTCCACAAATCAATGTTCCGAACTTATGTCAATCATAGCCCAAGTCAAAATAACCTCACTCCTTAGGAGGAAGTCTTCTCATGGTCTACACTTTTCTCAATGGTGCGACTTTTCGGTATCTAGCGAGCCTTATGCCTCAACAATGACTATCGAAATTACGTATAACTTTAGAACAGTTTCGTGTCATAATGGAAAGTCAACCAAATTATAGAAATGGTTAATCCTCAAAGACTTTGTCTTAAACTGTACAACATTGATCCACTTTCTAAAAACAGGAGACTAGAGCCTTTGCCATTATCCTAGGCTCTGTATCATCTTGCGGAGCAATCATGAATGTTTCCTTCTCGATCACTCAGTGATGACGTGGAAAATTTTCACATTCGCTATCACGCAACTAAGAATGTAGAGTATTCTTCTCTAATGGAGTAATCCATTAGTAGGCACATCGCTCCCACTGTCCCTAGGATATTGGAAATTTCTTTCCATTCTCAACTAGGCTACATAAAAGCGCTATGCTTAGAATTCTCTATCTTATAGAGTTCCAAAACTTTATTCACGTCACCTTTACTAAGAAAACTTTATGTGACTTAGTTACTCTACCACAAAGCTGCTTACCTATATGCACATGACCCAGATGGTTTACATGATCACATACAATAATGCGCCACACGACCCTATGTGTTTACAAGACAGCACACAATAATGCGTTATTGAACCCTAGGTTTTACCTTTGCAACCTTATGAGAAGTAAAATAAAGATAAGCTGCTTAACGGTTATAGATCGCCCATAGATGGCTCTCTGTTAACCCATTACTCAAATGGAGTGTAAAAACTGATATAAAGGGCATTTAGTTAGGGATATAGGCAACAAACTAAAGTGCAATTCCCAATTGGGAAATTTTGCGCCATTATCCACCTAACATTAACAATACTTAATTCCTTATCTCTACTACACCAGTGTGTTGTTGAGTACTAGGAATAATCAATTTTCTAGCATCCATTCTCTTCACAGAGTTTTCTAAAAATAACTCAAATAGATACTCGCCACCTTGGTCAAAACTAACAGCACAAAAAACTCTTATCTAATTGATCTCGACCTTATATGTGCAATGTCAAAAATCGTCTCAAACTTTTTGACTTATGGGAGATCAAATAGCCTTGACTCAGATACGTATCGTAATCTATAAATGTGTCGAGATTGAGGCTTAGCTATCATACCCTTACACATATCTAGTCACAAATATGATAGTGGACTAAATGCGCCAATATAAATAACCTTCTACGGCTTTCCTAATTACTTGTGCGCAACCATTGCGAACAAAGTTACACATTCACATGAGAGCAGGATGTCACAAGCGAGTGGGCCCAAGACGGCCTACTCCAAACATCCATACATCTTCTCATTAATGTGATTAACTATAATAAGTCACCGGTTCATGACCAATGTCATAAACTAATTCCAATCATCCTAATGTGTGAGTTTTTGAAGACAGGTTTTAAAGGTTTAGGCCCAACTAGGTAATGACTCGCGACTAATTCATATTCACTAGATCATAAAATGATGTCATGGAGATATTAAGTGCGCCTAAGTCGCAAATTTAACTAGTAAGTGCTAATCCTCTGCACCTTCAAGTCAATTTTATTCTCCATACACTTTAATACATCTAGTTGAAAGATGACGATACTCCTGTTGCCATCTCTATTTCTCGCTTCATAGTTACTTGCAATTAATTCTACTATCCACAAGAAGGAGAGAATAAGCTATCAACTATGACAGCTCCTGAAGTAACTTAAGCGTGAATTAGGCTAAAGAGTCTAATTCAACACAATGCTCTTACAAGTGATGCGTCAAATTCTTAGAGTCATAACAACCT